ATGCGTGTTTCCCACGTACACAAGGAGGGAAACAATTCTTCACGAGAGATTTACATCGTGTCGTATCAGCTAAAAAGTGAGAAGAAAAGAGAACTGTTGCAGACTGGCGAATGTATTTTGAGTGATCAGAAGGATTTTTAGTGTTGGTGTTCTAAAAACATTCGCCCACAACAATTAAAGAAAAATATTAGAAACAAATCATGCAAGAAGGTTGAAAGCAAAGACAAACATTAAATATACAACAATAACATTGGTTTATATACAATTCAAGAATATAATTGAGTTGAACTTTGATAGATAAATGAAAATAGATGTATTTGGCTGCGTAGAATATTATTGTGAATGTTTGAAAGTGTTTGCAATTGCTATTCAGATTTGTTCACAAAATTAAACTAAGTGTCCTGTTACATATGAAATTGTCTTTTGTGCTAGTTCAGTTATTAGTGTGTGTACGTAAGTTTGTTTGTATTATTGTTCAGAATTGGTAGGAGTTGCGTACCTTTAGTTGTGTGAAAATTTGAGTGTTTGTTTACTAATATTTATTAAGTAGTGAGAAAAATGTCACTTTTTAAAGTATCGTAAGTGATGTTTAGATAGCGTTCCTGAGAGAGATAGAGTGTGCTTGTGGATTGTTGAGTCAGAAATATTTTACGCGGCAAAGTCCTGATTGGCCAGAGTTTTGACTTGCGTGGGTCAGTTTGGCATCTCTCTAGGAATGAAAGTCTGACTGAAACGATCAGGAATTTCCTATTTATAGATTTCTGGACAAAAATATGGGCTCCGATGGCTTGCGCGCGAAAAAGCATTTTCACGTGAATTTGCTACAGTTCTAAGGCTTTTGACCAATAGGAAACTTCGTTTGCTGAAACTAGAGTTTTGATTGGTTGATAGACATTTTGTTGTGAAGTGGATTATGCTGGAGGGGTGAAAGGTTAGTATGGATTATTCCATCAGAACGAGGCAAGGTACCGCCAACTTTATATAGTATATGGAGAGCGTCCCCAAATAACGGTTTCAAAAATTAGGAAATTAAGGAGAAGGTTACTCTGACAATAACTCTCCCACCGGACGGTAGAATTTTTTTTTCCGCCAAATATGGAAAGTTCTTGAAAGTTTTGTTCCTGTCTTCGTAAGCTGAAAAAAATAAAATGTTTAGGAAGCGTGATTGAGATGCGTGATTCGACGAATTGTATTTGGGCTGTCATCAGGGTGTTGTCTTATTTTCTAGTTGAACGTAGCAGACTCTGAAAACTGCAGCATAACCTCTTAGGATCGTAGGTCCATCACGTCTACTGAAGCCATAGCAACAACGGCGCTTCCCGGGCAAGACTATAAAAAAATTATTCCCTACTAAATCTAAGTTCTTGGGTCAAACAGAAAAACCTAGTTAGTAGGAATAGCAAGTCATAATAGGCAAGACTAAACCACTGCGTAAAATTTTAAAAGAAAACATTTATTACATAAGTACGAAAAAACGTACAAATACAAAGTTTGCACAAAAATTTCTTTTTGTGATGCAGGATAACAAATTCTGATAAAAAGGATTACGAATCGAAAAATGGAAAAAAATACTATTTCAGTTTAGAAAAGGACAAGGATTCAATGACAAAATAGAAAACAATTCAAGAAGGCAGAAAAACAAAGTTACACCCACCTTTCATCCTGTACTCCTCCTCCCTTTCTCTCTATTTACCAACCTCCCCACAAGACAAAATGTGGCACAAGGCCAATTTTTAACGTGGGCGCGTTCCAAGCTCGTAGGCTCGGACAAAAATTGCCCGTAGACCCCTTATACACGGGTTCGGGTTTGTCTACCTCCCCAAACGAGACTCTACCCTTCAGCATAGCCTCGTCTGGGTTCCTCTCTGCCAGAGCTTGATGTGTACTTAATAGCTAAAAATTAAATACTGAGTTGCTACAATGTATAACAAATGTTATTAAGTGTTGAATTAGATTGTATTAATAATAACCAATCAACAAAAAGAAATAATGAAGTAATAACTCGTCCGCTATGAACATGAATGGGCGTAGCAGGGTGGGCGCTATGATATGATTTAAACATTTATTCAAGACTAACATTTTTAAAGAAGTAAAAATAAAAATTATATAAGACAGCCTGACACAGCCCAACCCTCTCCAGTCTCCATGTTGCTTGTAGAATTAGATTTCTACATTCTCAGTTTTAAACCTGTTAAAAGGGGATCACAGCTGAGTATTCTCAGTTTGTGCTCAACCCATTAAAATCGGCTCCAGAGATCAATACGAAACAATGCTTTCTGATTGGTCCATAAATAATAATGTCATGTTTCTGCCTACGGTTGAACTCGAGTTGACCTGTTCAGAGTACAACACGCCAAAAATTGGTAAACATTCTCTCGAGCCTCCCACGTGATCAAGAAAATTCATAAATATGAAACTTCGACACGATTTAGTCTGTGAGTCCTTAAAATAATCAACTCGTCACACGAATCCATGAAACCCAACTTCCTCGCTAAAAGTTAATTTTTATTAACATCAACCCAGCTTGTAGAATTCAATTTGTTTTCAACATCAACTCATCTAGTGACCAATTCAACCAAGACGAGATTCATAAACCAACTCACTCAATATCTTAACAACATAAAGGAAACCGTAACTATATCAGTCGAAGCAAGACAACTCTACAGTAAATCAAGCAATCTATTTCATTCAATTTCACCATCAACATAAACCGTTTATTTCCTCACCAGATCTATAGCAGAACATCTTTTATATTACACTTGATCACACAACCAAGAATCTAAATTGTTTTAAACAATTTTATTATATCGTGTGTACTTGTTATTATATAAAAATATTTTCTGTTAAAAAAAATATCTGCCTATTTGATTATTTCTCTTGTTGTTGTCTTGCATTTGATTTAGTAAAAATAGTAGATGATCAGTTTAATTTGTATTTTGTCATCAATACAGATTGGCTAACAGATTGAGTCCAACCGAAGATGTAAAGAAAACAAACAAGACCTATGGCTTTGGAAGTAAAGTCTGATGATCCGCAGTCCTTTGAAAGGGCTGTGGTGAAATAATTTATTACATGGAACCTTAAAGTGGTCTGCTTTTATTTAATATATATATTTAAAGATAGATGGAGGCAGCATAAGTGCTCTTTCAATAATATAAACAAAAGAAATCAGACTTCCCTATCTAAATATTTTTGGCATCTGAAGGAAACAAATAGGACACCTAAAGTTAAATGGAAAATTACAAACAAGGCTAGAACATGTAAAACTTGGGATGACCCATGCCCTTTGTGCCTCCATGAAAAATTGCACATTATTAAGCTTCTAAATAATAATAATCTATTAAACAATAGACACGAGTTAACGGTTTTTTGTAGACATCATCAGATTTTTGGTTTGAATTATTAGCTAAAAAAAAGCATAAAATATAATAACTTGCCAATCATCAGATTCATGGTTTGAACAACTAACTAAAAACATGCATTCACCCTTCATAATCCATAGCCCAAATAAATAGTTTAAATACCCTACAAAAAAGATAACCCTTTATATGAAGTCGTCAAATAACAAACGTTACGACAGTTTTTTTATATGCACAAATCCCTTTCATAAAAAAATAAAATAATAAAATAAATAAATCTCCATAGACATGCAAACTAGACAAGGGTTAATACATCTTCCGTTTAAAATTTAGACACCCCCACCTTTCCCTGACTTGACATCTATGAAAGTAACTCTATACTGATACTTATTATTAACACCCCACACTCGCCTACCCAATTTAAACAATTCGCCCTAGCTGTTACCATGGAAATTTTGATTTCAATTTTAAAACACGTAAATTTCAGATATACGTTATTCCAAAAAAATTCCGCTTGAAGATGGAACAGAGTTTATTTTAACTCAATTTAATTTAAATAATTATATTGAAGTTTTCGGCTCTTGTTTTGAAACATGAGACTTCTTATGTAGCGTTTTGGAATCATATTTTTAAATAAATAATTATATATATATATATATATATATATATATATATATATATATATATATATATATATGTATGTATGTATGTCAACAAATATATGTATTAAACAACAAGCTTACAAGTGACAAAGACATCAATATTTGTGTTTTGTGTATGAACGCAGAGTTTTTTTGTATTTTTGGTGTCTGTGTGTTTCATGGCGTTTTCCCACAAGTAGGCGAAAAGAAAACGAGGATTTCGGCGAGAGATGACATTTTTAAATGTGTCCGCTGAAATGCAAAGTAGAAAGTTTATTTATTTCTGAAATTCCAGAAAATGTGGCACAAGGCCGAAATGGGGAAGTGGGAAAAGGTCGGTCTTCTGTCTTAACTTTAAACTTAGCTAGCCACAAACGCTGACTCAATGCAAAGTAGAAAGAGAACGAGGCAAGAAGTGGCCAAGTATTTATAGTGTAGGGAGAGCGTGCTCTAGTGACAATTAGGAAATTAAGAAGGAGTTAACTCCGATAAATGCAATGAACTTGACTGGAATTCGAACTCGGCTCTACGATTCATCAATTAGAGTTGCTATCCAATTTCTTCATCACGAAGAGCTTTCTGCCTTACACAGTACATCAAATGAAAACTTCCAATACTAACAACAACAAAAATGGGTAGAAGAGAAAATAATGATACTACATCATTGCTGCATAATGACCATTATACTTTCTTTTTTTTATAGTAATCAATAATAATTTTACTTTAACACTACCGAAAACAAAAGGTTTCAAAGAAAATTCCCATCAGTACTAGAAAGAAAACTACAAAAGTCTAATTTCCTGAGAAACTATTTTAAGAAAAAGATTCTGCAAATTTCAGCCGGCAGTAATATTTAAATGTTCACTCAATGAATGCCGTATGTTTAATGAATGTAAGGGCAAGTTTCACTATTACCAAAATTTATTATTGAAAGAAAAGTACACACCATTCAGCCCTAATCTGCAATTTTTCGAAGTTATTTCCCTTGATAAATCTTTAGTGTGACACCGGTTGATAAAGAGAACAAAGTGTTCATTAATGTTTTAACGTGTCTGATTACAATCCATTTAATCATGAAGTTAGTAAGGTAAGTGTGTTTTCAAATATTCTAAATTTCTGTAGAATACAAATTTTTCTCTTTTTTTCTACTTGTTTTATAGTCTTATAAAATCTCATTTAATTGTAAAATGGAGTAAAATAATACAACTTCCGGTTTCTCTGGAAATCGTAAATATTTTAAAAGATTTAATGAAAAACCGTTGTTGTTTTTTTAAGTTTCTAATTAGATTAAATCTACGATCTTTGTCAGAATAACTAAAAATTGAATTTATGTGCCCATGACTTTCTTACGGAATCTACTTAAAAGGAAATTGTTTTAACGGTTTTCTTAATGTCTTAACCGGTCAAAACATTTAATTTTCTTTCCTGTTAAAAAAAAAAAAATTGTGGAAATAAAATGCTCATTTGCCTTCTTTTCTATTTTTTTCAATCAAGTTTAATTTCTAATATTTATTTAAACGAAGACAAATTTCTTGTAACGACGCCGATCGCTTTCTTCCCACGTGTCTATCGCGCCATTAAAATAATGGGAGGCAATTTACCGAATTTCTCTGCTTTATTTGTATTTACGTCCTTAAAATATTTATATCATTTGTATTTAAGTCCTTAAAATGTTTATATCATAAGATATAGTAATTTCTCAACTCCCTATGAAACGATTTTTTTTAAATGGATACTTTTCTTGAAGTATATTTTGAAACGGATGAGGAGTTTCTAATTAGGAACAATCGCAACGACTGAAGTTATAAACAAATCCGTAGTAAAATCAGTACAAAGTTTTCCATGAAAAAAATAGTTTTTTTTTTCCTTCATTAGGAGGCAGTTTAACAATAAGATGGTAAAATATAGGTGTATGGTTTGTTTTTGTTTTGTTTTTTGTTTTTTTTACATTTTTTTTTTAATTACAAAAAATTACTTTTTGAAAGGGTTTTGTTTTTTGTTTGTGTCTGAATTTTCAAATTGGTCCTACTGTTTTTTAACATTTTGAAAAGAGGAAATGAAAATAAATAAGGAAAAAGAAAATCGTGAAAAGAAATTTTTTTCCTAAAAATTTCCTCCAAAATCGTATTATACATAACAGCGTAGAAAACTGCAAACTCAATTCTTCTGTCAACATTTTGTCACCTTGTAGGTCGTGGGCGCCTAATGATAGGTAGCAGGCCATTGCTTGTTTGTTAGAATCTCAATGACTTAACCCCCTTCCGATTGTTGCCTTGTACCAGACTCACATAGACTATTGGGGTAGAAAAAATTGGGTTTCAATTCATGTTGTTTTCTAAAGTTCAGAGATGTATTTTCCAGTAATACAACTTTTGCCCAATATAGTCTTATGTCGCATTAAAACAATCTAATTATTGATAGATTATTTGTTTGTTTTTTTATGGGAGAACAATACATTGAAACTGCTTTAACATTCGAAGATATATTTTTACTTTAATGAGTGATAAATATATACAAAAATAATTGTAAATTATAAATTTATACCAATTCATTTTGCGCAGGTGTCATTTGGTTTTAAGAATATTTATGATTGAATTTCAGGTTTTAATTTTAATCAGGTATTCTAATTTGTAAAAATGTTAAAAAGATAAGCAGTTGCTCTCTAAATGATAGTGGATAGTCCTGGATATGACGATAAACTACATCCGGCAGCAAGTCCTCTGATTGGGAGATTGAAGGTTTTAAGGAGCATGGAACAACCTCTTAATTGTTGTTGTTTCCATTTCCCTCCTGTGGTGATAGCAGCTGTTAGGGTCTCAGCTATTGGCAAATACTGAACCCCCAAACAACTATGAAAGTATAAAAAATACATTTTTATAGTAAAAGTACAAGCAATACATTTTTATATTAAAAAAACTTGCCAACAATACACACATATTAACATGTGTAGCAAATTCACCCAAATCTATAAAATAACTACCAAACAACCAACATGAACTCTTTCATGACATTAATCCATGTCCTATGATTTCTTAAATCAAACTGTATTCCAAAATATAACTTCAACAAAACAACAACATAAAACACACATATCACCACTCCTAGTAATTATGTCCACACAAACATGTATATGCACAAAAGCTGAGTATCATCTACCATCTATTCAATTGTGAAAACAGAATAACATTTAGATTACTTCAAAGCACCCAAGAAAATTAAATGACCCATAAGGAGTTGATATGCCGTTAAACAGACAAATCAGTTAATCAAAAGATGGTTGAATAAAAGTTTTACTCATTTTAAAAGCCATTTTGATAAAAATCTTAAGATATAGTTTTTATAAAAAAATGTATCATGTGAGATTTAGTTTATCTGTCCTTATTTAAAATCTTGATAATTTGTCTTTGTAGTGTCAGGTTTTATTTTGCAAAAAAATGAAGTGCAACAAATTCTTAATGATAAATAAATCCAAAAGGTATGATCCATAGAAACATCTGATAAATCTAATATCCCATCTACTTGAAGAATTTTATTATTTACATAGGCTCTTTGGCATTTTACAACTGTCATCAGTCTGTTTTTACAATGATGTTCACCTTGTACAAGGCCTGGGAGCTACTTGACATAGACATTACAGATTAAGAAGCATAATTTATATGGATATGTGGGGAAGATAAGTTAACACGAGACTTGAACAGGTTAAGATTCTTGTGATTAAGGAAGTATCCTTTTGGGAGCTGGTTCCATAGCTTGTTCATAGGGAAGACGTTGCTTGAGTGCAACTTACATCTCACCAATGTAAATGCAAAGGGAATGAGGGTGCTTCACTTCAATGGGTGTGGCATAGTGTGTCTTTGCTGTGAAGATAAGAACTGGTGGAACTAAGGAATGTAGTTTGTCTGAACACTTTCCATGGAATTAGAGATAGAGCAGTGAGAGGCTCACAGCATTTTTGCCTGTGAGTAAGAGGTTGTGGGGTGGAAAATAATTTATTGCTTTTGAACTCTGTCGAGACTGGAAAGTGAAAACTTGGCAGCTCCTGTCCATGTATGGCAGCATTTCTCTCTTTTCAACTTGATTTGACTCTTAGCAGTAGAGGATAGCGGAAGGAGTCAGGTACTTACTGGAGTGGTACAAAGAACCGGCCATTTTCCTGGCATCTTCAGCAATGGATTGTATATATGGGTTCCACTTGAGGTCTGGGTCAGGTTTAAGTATCAATATATGTTCAAGGCACACATTCCTTATAATTGGTGATAGATCTGGGTTCAATCGGCAATAAGAGAATGTCACTAGTTTGGTACCTTGATTTTTTATTAACTTTTCCTTTGTTTTTATTTTGACATTGCTTGCAGCAGATTTTATTACTTTCTAAAGGTTTTATTTGATTAAATATTATTTTTCTTTCTTATAGGTACCACCAAAGATTCATTACAAAATGAGCATAAATGATGAAAAAATGCCCCAAATTTAATAAAAACTCCCAAAATGATTTAATTTCATCATCAAAATTTTGTTATTAACAAGAAAGACTATCAATTTTTTTTTTTTTTAATCCTTTTTAGAACCTTCAAAGATTTTGGTTAAATTTTTATTTTTTTGCATCAGTGGGTGACCATAAATTAGTAAATTTTAGTTTCTTTTTCTGGTGAAAAATATTGATTTTGAAATTCTTGCAAAAAAAAAAAAATTGATACTAATTACCATCAGTATCAAGTTCATTTGACAAATGATTCACATTTGGTTACAGAAAGAATATATTACATTTTTCAATTAAATTGATGTCATTGTTTGCCTAATATCAACCAACAACAAATTCCTTTTATTATATCATAACTGTTATATGTTGGTTTTGTGCAATGTATTGCTTTTCATGGAAATCTTTAGTTGCATCCCTGGACATACAGTAGGAAATTTATTGCGTCCTTTTAAGATTTGTATGCATCAGGGATGTGGGACATGCACCTATCAGCATCTCTGCTATTGTGTGAAGACATTTTAGATGAATGATGAACTTCTAATGGAACTATTTTAATTTTTGAAATTATGTCTTAATTTGTGCTGGTTAGGTGATATTGTTTTTACTAACTAATAACTATATTTACTGATCACTGACAACCCACTGCCCTGCCCCAGCATTTTAAGAATTTTGCATTTTTTTTGTGCCAAAGTACCTAAAATTCAATAAAACATTAGATTATTTGGAATATTTTCTTTTTAAAATTACTTGATAGTTAAAAATTATGGAAAAAAAAGGTACTCGTGTTATATTTGTCATGTAATTTTTACAAACATGTCTCCCATAGAAAAATTAGTTAAATTTCCCAAACAACACATTGTTAATATAGTCATCAACACCTCATAAAAACACCCACCTCCATGTTAAAAATGCTTTTCTGCAATGTTTTAAACTAAAAGTAATGTTTGTTTCAAGTCAGCTAATCTCCCTCAAATAAAGTTTCAGAAAAGTATATTTTATTTTTGAAAGATTTTTTTTTTAATGAAGAGAATTGTGTTGTAAATATTTCTTAGCTTTTTTTTTTTTTTTAAAGAATCCTTCCAATCAATTTTAATTTTGTTTTGAATACTTAAATATATTTTGCTTATTTGAAACATTAAATTTAATCTATTAGGTTGAAATTAAAACTAAAATAAAAGCCTCAAGGAAGATTTTTCACTTTAAACCTTAGGTATCGCTTTTCTTTAGAGATACCTACTTATATACATCTCTTTTCTACATGCTTAATATCTGGAAATGATGAGTACCATTCCATTAATTTGTTGTCTTTCGAACTTTATTTTTGGCAACAGCTTTGCAGAATGTGGAGTATTGTCTTGATATGCACTCCAGCTTTTAGAGCTTCTTGGTTGTGACCCTGTACCACTCAAAAGCTGACAATAATTCTCTGAATTTATCTTGAACTACCATCCATTTTGAAAGGACTTCTCAGTGTCTACTCCACCCTCACACATTTTGATTATTTCCATGAAGGACTCATCCTCTAACCCAGGGGACACCAAATATTTTTCACAGAGGGCCAGATAACTTAGAGAATGCCACATGTGGGCCGGATAACCATTTTGTTCACAATAATACACTGAATACACAAAAAGTAAAGACAACAAACATAGTTATTTACTGAAAAGTTATCAAAGAAGCTGACATTAGCAATAAAATAGTTATATCCCACCTAGAGGGGTTTTTTCTCCATGAAAACAAAATGTCCTACTAGAAATGAAAATCAATTTTGAAATGGAAATTTTCTTATTTCTAATGATTAGATTTGCCAACTACCATTTTTATTTGTTACTATCCTTTCCTCGCCTTTCCTAAATTACTTGTTAAAGTTGCTAATGTTTCAATACATTACCCCCCCTTACCTATTGTCTTCCCTAGAGTTTACAGTGTTTAGGAACCAAGATTTTACTAAGTGTGGTGGACAAAACAAAAATTTTATCTTTTTGTTTTAGCCTTTCTTTTTCTTATCACACATGGTGACAGAGATGGGGGTGCAGTTTGTCATTTCAGAAAACCAAATTTTACAAAGTGGACTTTTTCAAAAATTTTAATAATGTCATTTTCTTGTTTTTAATAACATTTATATATTGTTACAATTTTTCACTAAGTATTATAATGAAACAAAAACTGAATTCTTTACTGATAATGGAATTCCCTAAAACCTGAAACGTAATTAAGGAATATTTGAAATGGAAAATTGGTTCTTCTCCACCCTCTCACATATCCAAATCTCATAAACTAATCAGCAAAAAAGGTTAGTGAGACTGGTGTTTACCGCTTAAGATATAATCAGTATTTTCTTTGCAATTGTTGTGTCCAACCAAGAGAATTGCTTTCAAATGTTCTTCATTTGATTTGCTGAATTTACATACTTCATTTTTTAAAATGTTTGCTAACGAGAAGCAAATTTCTTCAACTTTGAAAACTCATCATTTGGTAAACGGCAATAAAATTAAAGAAGTTTTCCTTCTCTCTGCTTCTCTTTCAACAAATCTCTTTGAAACTATTCTGTACTTGCACAAAAAGTGCTCAGATATCAAAAAGTTGCCAAATTTTTTATTTCACTGATTTTCCTAAAACTTCTATTACTGTCAGATTTAAAAATCAGATTGGCCAAATTTTAGTATTTTTACTTATATTTATTTTAATTTTTTCTATATAGAAATTTTAACTACAATCTATTAATAATTCCATATAAATAATTATATTTTAGCTCATTTGTGGCACAGTGAAACGGCAACAGGCTTGATGAACTGACATCACGGGCCATAGTTTGGCGACTCCTATTCTACGCATTTGTCATTAAAAAATGATTTCCTTTTTCCTTTACTTTATTGCCAAACTTAGATGTTTCTCTTTATGTTTACTTGAAGATTAGAGTTTGGCAATTTCAGACATCAGATCACAAAAATTTTACAGATTTTTAAATGAATTTCAAAAACAATATTTAGATATTTATATATAGATTTATTCAACCACAAATGAGCCATTTTGTTCCACTAATTTTTTTTTTCCACCATCTTTGAGGCAGCTTTGTGATTCCATTCTCCTAAAATTTTGCATCTTTCTCCATGATGAACTGGTCTAAGTGACTTTTTACAGTTCTTATAAAGTTTTGTAGGAATCAAAATAAGTGGTAATCATTACAGCAGGTGTAGTAGGTGCTCATGAATTGGATTTTTATTAAATGGAATCTTATCTCTGAATATGTTTTACGTGGACATATTTTATATTTTGATCATAGATAATTGAATAAAAAAAATTTTATTTTTTATTTTTTTTAATTAGATTTTTGATGAAACTCAGCCATGAAACTGTAACAATTGAGTTGAAGAATGGAACTTTGGTTCATGGCACAATCACTGGTAAGTGTGTCTTTTTTTGTTTGTTTTTAACAACATATGCTCTGGCCATAAGCGCTTAGCATTCCTTTTCCTAGGGAAAGATGAAATTGATAGTTATTGGCTTAGTCAAAAGGTTGAGTCCATTTTTTATATTAGACAGCATTATGAATTTTAACACCTAAAACACACTTAAGAGCACTTTTGGTTTTATTATGATAGTGTGATGACCAGTCCCCTAGAAGCAAGCAAGCCAGAGTAGCTTGCATCTGGTGCAAAGGAAAATAAGAGTCTTACCTCAATGTGCGGCTCGTAGAATCGGCAAGTTTGCTCCTTGGTAACTGAGAATAAAAACAAAGACTGCTGATTGGTTGGTCGACTGTGGTGTTGGCCTGATAAAAGAGGGCTAAAGCAGGGAGAATGGAAGAAAAAGATGGATTTAATAGCCAGAATATGCAAGGGTGGTCCAGTAGGAGGAAACTGGTGTGTGAGTGGCCGCGAAATGAATGTGTGGGTAGATGCGAGTTTTGTGGCTGCACCTGACTGGAGATGCTAATCACATCAATTTGGCTGAGCTAGATGCAACGATAAAAGGTGCCAATTTGGCTCTTTAATGGCAGGTGTCAACAGTACATCTTTTTACTGATTCATCATGTGTTCATCAGTGGATTTTGAACACCTTAACTGTCAAGTCTCAAATAAATATGAAAGCGTCTGGGGAAATGCTAGCGCAGAGATAGTTGAACACACTTCACTAGCTTGAATATGGCTTGACTGTGAACATAACATTGGTCAAATCCAATATGAATCTAGCAGACCGGCTTACCAGGGTGCCAAAGAGTTGGTTAAACCTACACAAGGAGAGAACAAAGCCAGTGCAGTCAGTATGCGCCACTACAAAGACAAAGTCGGACGCACATTAAGTGGCTAATATCCACCAAAAAAAAAACGGACAACCGAGCATAAAAAGGACCTTGTACCTTGTTAGGTTGATAGACCCCCTTCAGTATCATCAGAAGTTGTAAAAGCCGTTGTCAAGGAATATGATGCTTGCCAAACCATTGACCCAGTTCCAGTGCCTTGGTGAAAAGGAAAGCGAGGAACGACTGGAATAGGTTAGCAATGGACATCGCCCACCATGGTAGTAAGCACTTTCTGACAATCATTGATTGTGGACCCTCTCGGTTCACGATATGGTGACCACTAAATCAACAAGAACGGGGTCTGCCACTCGAGATATTGACCAACAATGACGCAGCATTCATGCACAGACTTTTCAAGAATTTCTTGAGTAATTTGAGGTGTAGATTTGTGGTTCCGATGTGCCTATGCGCCTGCCGGGAATGGTATAGTAGAAAGAAGTCACTGAAGCATCAAAACCATTGCAGCTAGAAAGCTGTGCCTCTATACCAGAGGCAGTCTACTGGTATAACATCACTAAAGATAATTACACGCCTACTACTGCACCAGCTGATGCACTTTATAGGTACCATACCCATATATGGTGCATCGAGGCTATGTCCTCCATTGAACCTCGGAATACTCAAGGAGCATATGAAGTGGGAGATGTTGTTTGGGTGAAAACTCCTCATGGGAGATGCACAACTAAATTTAGAATGGGTCACGTGACTCAGGTTAATAGTCCACACCCAGTGCACGTCAATGGAGTTCCACATCATGTGAAAGACTTGCGTCCCTTCATGGGATCAGTCCCGACGACTACACAGGACAGCAATTCTGAAGAGAGTGAGCGGTTAGTAAATTTGAGATCAACCCCATTAGGAGAAACTGATCACTCTCTTGATATTGAATCTGTTGAAGATGACACAAACATAGAGGACAACTCCCCAATTGTTAGCGGCCAAAATACTAATGTGGCACATCCTACTAGCTCCCTGGTGACAGTTTATCTGAAGATGAAGTTCGTGTTGCTCCACCTCCTTGGCGAAGTATCGGGAAAAAGCGACCTGCTCACGACTGTATTTTTTGTGATCATGAGACCAGGGGGCAATGTGGTGAACAGTCCTGTAGAAGCAAGTGTGTCAGAGTGGCTTGCATCTGGTGTGAAGGAAAATAAGGGTCTTACTGCAACATGTGGCACGTGGCATCAGCAAGTTTGCTCCTTGCAAATGGCATTACTCTACCATCTAGCCATTCCAGCAGTATGTACGGTAACAAGGGTTTTTGTACAGTTTGGCATGCTTTGACCAATAGCAAGCTGACTGGTAGAACTGGAGGAGGATATTTACCTGGGTAACTGAGAATAAGTGAAGAACGCTGATTGGTTGGTCGACCGCAGTATTGGCCTGATAAAAGAGGGCTGAAGCAGTGAGAACAGGAGAAAAAACGGATTTATGTTTTGAAGTGTGCGGAAAGCAAGAACAGCAGATTGAACCAGCGGTATTTTGAATTGTACGAGTGATGTCCGAGTAATAGAGACTCACTTAAGCTACAGATAGTTATATCAACACATATTTTAAAAAAATATATATTTTTGGAAAATTTCTTTTGTTTATTGCAGGAAAAAAGCTTCTTTTTTTTTTTTTTTTTTTTTTTTTTTTTCTTCTTCTTCTTCCCACCTCCCTAAAATAAGAATGTGACACAATAAATAATTATGCAATTTATAGAGAAAGTATTGTGAATGGTTAGACTTTTCAAAAGTAGTTTCCAAACATTTGTGCTGGACAATGGTTCTAGGTTTATATCTACCAAATGAACATATTACTTGAGAATAATCAACATTATACAATATATTATCCAACATAACTCAAATGATACAAATTAAGTGTTGAAAATCCTTTGTACCAATTTGGTTACATGAGTTGCTTTGATGTATGGCTTTTATATAAAGAAAAGGTTCTATTTTTGAAATGCATTGTAATGACAAAGAAAAGTGGCTACTTTATAACAATGGGATAGTAGAGATCATGGAGCAAGCAAAATCGAACATCACTAACCATACCAAAAGCTGGTCTGTATATTAGACCCTACAACCAACAACAAAAAAAAGAAAAAAAACAATGCCATTTATATGGTAGAATGGAAAGGAGTCTCTTTACTGTGTGATTCTTCTAGAGAAACAAATAAACAATTAATTCAAACAAAGACTAATCCTAGCTAAGCCAAATTAAAGCATCAATGGAAAAAAAATGTCTAGAATTAGTTAAAAGATGGGTCACAATTATCCATCAAGAGTTCATGTTTCTTTGGTGACTAGGCAAAGCTTGTTAGAATGAAGGTTTTCATCCTATTGCTATTACTATGACAGATGTCTGTATGAGTTATCTTCCTTAGTTCCACCAGCTCAAACCTTATCAAGCACTATTTGCACCAGCACTCAATGTTCTCTCTCTCTCTCTCTCTCTCTCTAAATATATATATATATATATAAAAGAGAGATGTGCGGTTTAATCGATAAACTGACTTGGGGTTTCATCTTCACACTGTGAAACCGCATCAAAATTTTTGCAAAACCGAATGATTTCAGTTTTGTTTTTATATTACTGCTGAGTGACCATATCCAAAGAAACACTATCGAAAGAGACTTTCAGATGTTAATAAAGTTAAATTTTATCAACATTTATACTGTTGTTAGAGAAAAAGATTGAACAAAAATATGTTAAAAACATTTAATTGACTAATTTTAGGAAATAAACGTGAAAGCTATTTGTTTACAAAAGAAATGGAAAAGAAAAAAAAGAAAATACGACATGATGACTGAAAGTGAAATCTATTTGTTTCAGTTTTCAAAAAAAAAAAATTTTTTCAGTAAAATTAAGTTAACAACAAAATAGCTAGTAAAAATAAAAAATAGTTGCCAATTTCGTCTTAATGTTAAATTTTATGAAGTCAGATTTTTTGTAAGGGTTTTCTAGGTAGCCATTACAAAATACCGTTTTACGAAATAAAGTTGTTATAATAAAAAAAAATGAATAAAGATTTTTTATTTTTTTTTTATAAATAAATCTGTTTCTCATCTAGGGTATGCACCTAAATTATTAAAAATAAAAAAATAATTTAAATACTTCTTAAAAATAAAATACTAAATTAAAAACCAAACTGAAAATCACGGTATCAAGGAAAACAAAACTGGAAACCAATACCGAAGCATAAATTGCCAAACCGACCAACTCTAGTGTGTGTGTGTGTGTGTGTGTGTGTGTGTGTGTGTGTGTGTGTGTGTGTGTGTGGTAATCCCTTCCTATATTGCAGTTTCCTTAGTACATTGCAGGGTTTCTGTGGCTGGTTGAAATTTGGCTTTGTCTTCCCAGATAATTTCATACATGCCGCAACAATATTGGCCAATAGAGGAGACACAACCAATGAGAGCATGCTGTTCAGTATCCTAGGCGCTAATTGGCTTAGTGACCACACCCTCTGTTCCCAGCATCCTAGTTTTCGTCATCCCATGTCACTCAGTTATTTCAAGTCTTACAATGTCAACCAAACGTTCTGCACCTTCTAAGCCTTCTGGCAGTGAATCACCAGAGGAAGATGCTTACTATAGCAGAGAAGGTGAAATTCCTCGATATGCTGAAAGAAGGGAGAAGCTGTGCAGCTGTTGGCCGTCATTACGGCATCAATGAATCCAGCATTTGCTACATCAAGAAGGACAAAAAGAATATAAGGTTGACAGCAACAGTGACTTTTAACAAAACTGCAAAAAGACTGGTAACTTCACACACAATAAGGCAATAGTAAGGATGGAGCCTGCTTTAGGCCTTTGGATAAGTAGCTGCAGGAAAAAGAACATTGCCTTGGATATGAACACAATCTATGAGGAGGCCAGACAGCTGTATGGCAAATTTATGGATGGCGGTGACTACAATTCAGGCAATCCTCAACCAGAAACATACTTTATGGCATTTTTGAAAAGGACAATAAATATGGCATCAAGAATGAAGCAAGTCAGTGTTCTGCTAAATTTGATGATTTTTGACATCTGACTTGACATCTCAATTGTATAAAATTCTATTCAGCTACTGAGTTGTTTTAGATATGTGTCTGGTCGTACTAGGAAACAATTTTTATGTCATGGTTGTTTGTGGACAGATATTTGTCTCTGCACACTGGCTTTTTCCCAGCCACTAGTAGTGAGGCTGTTAAATCAGAACATTGTTATTTGTAGTAAATGTTTGCTTAATTAGAGATTACTATTTTGAATAAAATTTGCTCCTGAGACCAGCAACTGTTGAAACCAATGAAAATAGATGTTTATAAAAGCATTTGGGCTAAAGGCAATTTGTCTTCAATCTAAGTGATCCTTTTCCAAAGAATGCCTATAACTAAATGGCAGGGCTGTGACTTCAACAAATTAGCCATTTTTTTTCTCATTAATTTGTCTTATCTTCTGAAAAATTCTAGTTTTCACAATTTTACTTTTCCTACAAATTGCAGGAAGAAAAAAAACTTCATGCTTTCAGTAAAGTTTGACAAACTGGCAATTTTACATAATTAATTCATCCAATCTAAGAAAATCTTGTCACAGTTTCCTGGTGTGCCCAGAAAAGTCTCAGCATCTGATTTTCTAAGGCCAATTTAAAACCTCTTACACTTTTGCTTCAGCTCTGCGTATTCCAGTTGAATAGAAGATATGTAAACTTCCTTGGTTTCACTCAATCATACAGCCTTGATTTCAGGATCCTGCCAATCTTCTTAAAGATATTTTTCATCTTGAATTTATCCACAAATCTTTTTTTTACATGATCAGAAGTGTGAAAGTGGTTTAACTCCTGGCTAAATATTTAGTTTGGCAGTAGCTTATAGTTGGTCTTTCTCTCGCTTGTAAAATCCAAATTGGCCAGCAATACTATATTGCCACACAAATTTTTTTTTTTTAATAATAACATCAATAATTGTTGAAAAAATAGTTATTTTTATTTATGTCTATATGAACTATAAAAGAGAAAAAATACTTTTAGTGGAATATTAAGATTTCTAAAAAAAATAAAAATGGGGAAAAATATAAAATGAACTCGTGCAATAAAACTATTTTTAATCTCATTTTGTTTTAAAAAAAATATTAACTGAGTTTTCACTACTATTCAGGGAATGTTTTCAATGAGACCCCCCCCCCTTTTTTTTTCTTCTTTTTTTTTTTTTTTCTCTTCCTCTTCACTCTACAACTTTTGACATAATTATCATCATTCATAATTATCTTTTGCCTTTGAGAAAATTCAAGAAATGAGGCTTGGTAATGAACTTTTTTTTTTCTTTTTTTAAAGGCTATAACTTTTTAAAATAGATTATCTTTGCTTGTGTGTTTAGAAATCAGATTTTGCTTCTACCCCTGTCAATATTTTGGAAATTACATTCATTAATAAAATTGCACTTTGTGAATTTAGAACAAATTTTGATGGGTTGAATTTATCATCTTTGTAAAGGAATAGCTGATCTCTAATAATTCATAGCAAAACTGCTCAAATGAAAAATGTTGCTATGTGCCCAAATATACAAAGAAAAAAATTGAGAATTATGGTTCTTTTATTAATGATTGTTTTAATCTTAGGATTTTTTTGATTTTTTTTTTTTTTACTTAGTCATTACTAATATTTTTTTTCTTGTTATTATTTTCCATTTCTGTATGATGTTTGAATGAATATTCAGTGCACGTGTTTTCTAAAAGGAATCTTTGATAAAATAACAAATGCTTTAAAAAATAAAATAATTTCATTTTCAGATTAGAATGCTTTAGTTCATGTTAAACTGTAACTCTTTTCAGGTGTGGATGTAAGCATGAACACTCATTTGAAGGCAGTCAAGATGACGTTAAAGAACAAGGATCCTGTACAGTTGGAGACATTAAGTATACGTGGTAACAACATTCGTTACTTTATTTTGCCAGACAGTCTCCCTTTGGACACTCTATTAATTGATGATACGCCAAAAGCCAAAGCGAAGAAAAAAGAAATGGGTAATTTTCATTTCATTTTGGAATCTGAAATATTTACAAAAACTAATTATACAAAATACAGTCAGGAAATTCACTTAAATATGTTTACTACAAATGAACTTTGTTTCTTCTAAGTTTTAAAATGTTTAACTGTTTGGTTCAGTTCTTTTAACTTAAGAAGAAAGTGTATTTATAAACCATAGTTTTTTGGGAATTTTTAATTATGAAATTAATATTAAGTATCAAATGACAGTTTACTGTTGGACTGTTTTAGAATGGCTTAATTCAGATTGAACTAGAAAATTATTATTCACAATGTATTTTCATCAAGGTTTTATTCATTTTTCAAGATTCAGTAGAAAAAATAAAATTTATTTAAAATAAAATAGTAAATTTAACAGACCTTATAAGAACAACAGGGTCAGAAAATACTTAACAAAGGCCTTTTATAAACAAAGACTAAATAAAAGACAAGGCAAAATGGGTTAGAAATATATACCAAATAAAATACTAACATGAGTGATAATTGCATGAATAATTCCAGTCAACCCAAGTAATTTTTTTTTTTGTACTGGATATCAAGATGGTTTCTGGCAATTCCTTGAAGATCATCCTAGTGTTACTACATCTTTGGGAATCAAAGTAAAAGCTGGATTCTCAAAGTCAGTAAGCATCAGGATATGGATTTCAGTGTTATCCAGTGCATTACGATGGGTATCTGACTTATTTCTGCAGAGCTATTTTGGATATAAGTCTTTTGTTCTCTGATAGTTGTAGATTTGTTCTTTTCATATGTTCTCAGCTGGTACCAAATTATGCACTGTCAAAAACATCCGTTGTCAAACTTTACATAGGAATATTGTGGATTAGCTTCTAACAGCTGAACTTTGTTAGTATGGGCATTACAGTGTAAAAGAACTAAACCAGAGTCTGCTCACCAAGTGAGCAAAGAGTTGACCACTGGAATGTCTACAGAGTAGTAGCATGACTTTGGAAGCTAGCATCGAATTTCTACAACAATTATAGTTATTGAATTTAATCAACCAAAAAGAAGCATTTGAGATGTACGGGACGAGCACAATCAAATCCATAATTAAATGTAGATACTGCGGAAAAAATTACAAGAGAGACAACCACAAATGTCCGTCTTTAGGGAAAATATGCTCAAATTACGAAAAGAGATCATTTTCAGAACATATACAAAATGAAAATAAAAAGAGTACAAAATATACACACACCCCCCCCTCGAAAAAGCGAAAATATTTAGAATGAATATACAAAAAAAGTTGCGAAAAAATAAGAATAAATGGGCAAATATTTAACATACAAGTTGATACAGGCAGTGAAGTCACGTTGATACCAAAAGATTTCTGGATAAAATTAGGACAACCTAAATTTGAATAAAAAAAAAAAAAAATTAAAAAAATGCAACATCAAATTAAAGCAATTTTGAAACTGACAAAACTGGTAGTGGTCAAGTTAAACAAAATGATACAACAAGGCATACTAGAAAGATTAACTCAATGTGGTAGCAATTGGACGTCACCGATAGTAACAATAAAGAAACATGGCAGGGATTTAAGGATTTGTGGTGATTACAAAATAGGGGTAAATCACTAGATATGTTCAAACTCTTTTCCTTTGCCAAATATCAAAACTGCGGGCCATGAGTTAGCAAAAAGGGAACACTTTGCAAAAATTGATCTCAAGGCAGCATACAGCCAAATAGAAATTGACAAGGAATTCAAGGAAGTAACTACGATAAACAACCCTATAGGCTTACTAAGATGGACACGTCTACCATTTGGAGTAAAGACTTTGAGCCATATTTTTCAAAAAGCAATTGAAAAAGTTTTATTGGGAAAAGTAAAAAATATAATAATATACCAGGACAATATATGTGTAGGGGCAAGAACTGAAGAAGAATTAAAATATAAAACAGAGCAAATTTTAGTGAGATTAAATAAGGCGGGCATGACTGTAAGAAGATATGAAAAGAAGGCATATCACCTGACGATAGATTAACAAAGAAAATGACAGAAATAGCTGCTCCAACAAGTAAAAAAGAATTAGAACCCTTTTGGGGGCTAATAAATTTTTATAATAAATTCATACCAAGATACAGCAACATAATAGAGCCATTTGCAAAATTACGCAAAGAAAAACAATAAATTTGACCAGACACAAAACTACCGCTTTCAAAACATTAAAGAAAATACTGAGGAACAAAAAGAAGTTAACCACAGAGGCAAGTGAAGAGGCGATTGCTGCTATTCTATCACAAGAAGAACACCCGTTCATGTACATATCAAGAAGGTTAACGTCAGCCGAAATTAACTACTCAAATATTGAAAAAGAAGCACTAGCGATTATATGGAACATGGAAAAAGCACAAAACTTTTCAACAGGAAAAAAATTCTTATTAAAATCAGACCAAAAATCACTGGAATTCATATTTAACCCAAGAAAAGAATTTTTCAAAAGTCACATCATGAAGCATTTTAAGATGAGCATAAAGATTATGGCATTCGATTTTGACATAGTATACGTAAAAGGGAATACTATTCCTCATATAGATGCTTTATCAAGATTACAGTTCAAGAGTAAAACAAGAAAAACAGGAAAATACTGAAGATAAAATAATTCACTGGGTAGAAACGGACGTTCTTCATCTAAATAGACTCGAAATAGAAACAAAGCAAGACCCAATATTAAGCAGAATAGTAGAGAATAAAAAAAAAAAAATAATGTACGGAGCAATTGTTCGATGTCAGAGCAACTCTTTAAAGAAATGAAGCACAAACTAACCATAGAAAATGGCTATAATCTGCAATGGGGACATAATTGTAGCTCCACAAATACTGAGAAGGGACATATTAAAAGTAGTACATGATAACGTGCTTTGTGGCATAACAGCAACACAAAAAAGACTAACATTACAAGCCTGGTGGCCAGGATATTATTGAGATGCTCAAAATGTGTGGAAATACAAAAAAAAAAAAAAATTCAAGCAAGAAAAAATTCACTCATGGCCCAAGGAAGCAGAGCCATGGGTTAGGGTACAAATGGATCACGCACATATCAAAGATAGGGGATTCTTCTTAGTATTAATGGACTTGTATTCAGGGCCAGAGGTTGTCAGAGTAAAAGATAGAAAAGCCACCACAATAAAGTAAGTACTAAGAATTGTATTCTCAAGGAATGGAGTACCCCAGACAATAGTCATCAACAATGCACCCAAATTTGCATTGAGAATTTATGTGCATGGTTAAAACAGATTGGATGCAACCCATACAAGACACCATCATGTCACCCACAATCTAGTGGCATTGCGGAAAGAATGGTACAAACGGTAAAAAATGGGATTAAAAGCATTCTCACCACTTAATGAAAGCATAGAAGTGTATCTACCAAAAATGCTCCTCAGTTACAGATCTATTCCACATGCGGGAAGAAAACGGAGCCCTTCGGCATTAATGGAAAGGCAAATCAGAGCCCTTATAACAATATCCTTTTCAACGAAAGAAAAGGTGTGGTATAGAAAGGATAAAGAGGCTGATCCAGAAGAAGCAAATTTCCTGATACAAAAAGGAACCAAAACAGCCATACTTGAGAAAAGGGGACAAAATATACTGGCACATGCAGATCAATTCTGAAGCAGAAACGAACTGGATGACGTAGAAATGGAAGATCACAAAAAAGAAGAGACAGAAAGTTACAAAAGTGGAACAGAACAGGAAATGGAAGAAAGTGAGAATGAAAAAAGGGACGAGAGTGAAGAAGAAAATAAAGAGACCAAGACTACCATTAAAGAGACAAGGGGAAAGACAGCGCAGTATAAGAATAGTAAAAAAAAAAAACAAGGGTATACAACCTCTCCAATTCAGGATGGTGTAGTATTGTATGCAAATTAGATAGTCAAGTATAAATGGAGAACAACTGGTGAACATAAGGGCATTGCTTAGCGAACCCGTTTGCTAAATGTAACTTGAGAACTGTGCAGTGACTGCTACTACACAGAGAGATATACCAAACATAACAAAAAAGAGGAAAAGCAGATAAAAGTCACCAGAGACATGTAAACATCTTCATCAAAGATTAATTAATTCACACTGATCGAATTTGTAGTTGAAAGGAAAATAATAAATTATTTTAGAGTAATAAAATACATTTTAATAGAATTTCAAAGAATTTATCAGTGTTTTTTACAATTTGAACAATTAGAGAAATGTTAAATCTGTTTTTTTCTGGGCTGAATAGAGAGCTCTGGCTTGATTAACTGCTCTGTGTAAAACAAGGCAACTGTCAAATGGAATTAGAGCCCAAACCAGTTATGAGCACATCTCTAATGCAGTCATCCCAGTTTCAAGCATTGTTAACTGTATTCTTTTGCTAGTAGTTTTAGCCCTTGGACATATTCGTCAATGTCCTCTCCCTCTCTTTCTCCTTGAGTCGTTAGAATATGTCTAGTGACTATTTCATTCATTTAGGTGATTTACAGCAGATCAGAGGATAATATACTCAGCAATATAATTATAGACATCTGAGGAAATGCAATTGACTAAGGTATTCAATACCGGTGATTGAAGACTTTAGTTGCCGAGGATGGATTCAGAGATAAATCCACTGATTCAGGTTTCAAGATTTTTTTCTGTTAACTATCAATATTCTTTGTTTATTAAACTGTTTATAAGGACAGGATTAGAAAATACTTAAACAAATTGGCTTACAATAGTGTTAACACTAAATAAGAAAAGACCAAGCCAAAGGAGGTTACAAATATATATATATATATATATATATATATATATATATATATATATATATATATATTTATATATATGAAGAGTTCTAATTAAGGGAAATAATGTATATGACACCTTTCATTTTTAGAGTTGTTTATTTACTGTTGACTTTTTTCTTTTTCTTTTTTTTAAGTAGGAAAAAAGAAAGTAAATCCATTATAATTCTTGTTTTAATAAGTTTATACTAAAAAAAATAGTTAATGTTTTTTGTAAAAAGTACTTACATATTCAGTTTTCTGATATTAAATACTTGTGACCGACTATCAGAAAACATTCTCACTGTATTTCTATATGCTTTTAAAGAAGATATAAAAAAAAAAGAACTTTGTGAACATTAGTAATTATGCTTTCAGAATCTGTAAGAAAACTAAAGATATTCTATTTAATGTTTGCGTACATTATCTCTGTGCACTCAAATAGAATGAGAGTTGCTTCATAAATATGTGGAGAGGTATACTGAGATCCTCTGTCAAGCAGGGCCCACCTTGATTAGCATACGATAAATCTGTCCTCAACAAAAAAAACATGGCTATGATGATGATATATTAAAAATTGATTAACCTTAAAAACTTATTGTTCTGCAAATTTTCTAATCACTTTCTTATGTTTGATACTTTTAGATTACTCTGTGTTCTTTAATGTCATAAATATTTGAAAATTATAGTGACATGTTGATTATAAAATGTTTTATTTTAATGTTTCAGCTGCTCCTGGTCGTGGACGAGGCAGGGGACGTGGCAGAGGACGAGGTCGTGGTAGAGGGCGAGGAAGGCGATAATTTTTTAAATATTTTTTTTTTTTTGTTCTTCCATTGTCTTTTCTACCTCCCCAACCAATACATTTAAATAAAATCACTTTCATTCATTCTTCACAAAAATTTTGTATTATCACTTCATATTTCAAGTGTACTGCATTAAAAAAGAAAATCATTTAAATGTACAATTTCCATTTGACTTTTCTTTCATACCAAAAGACTTTCGTTCATTATTTATCATGGCAGACTATAATGAATAACTGTAAAACAAAGTAAGGTGCTAATTAAATACTTGTGATTTCTGGGGCTTTCCATCAGATTTTTTTCTGTTAGCTGCTATTAATAAGTTATACTCGGTAGTTATCCCAAACCACCTGAATTTACGGTGTGGCCATGTGTCAAAGTAGTGAAATTTCATTCCATTTTGACTTTTTATGCATATATATATATATATATATATATATATATTATATATATATATATATAATTTATGTCTGGCTTATGTCAGAGAGTATCCACCCAGACGAGGCTCTGCCGAAGGGTAGAGTCTCGTCTCGGGGGAAACTGACTCTGTTTTTATGTGGTCTATAGGGAATTTTTCCCCGGACATACTGGCTCAGATGCCCCACTGTAAACTCGGCCTTGTGCCACATCTTGCTGCATGTACATAATTATATTGTTTATTCACATGGCTATTTTCATATAATTAGTATGTAAACAATGTTTTTTTTTTTGTTTTTTTTTTTTCTCTCTCTCCTTTCTACAATTCCTTTTTTTTTCTTGTGTGATGATTATTTTTTATTCCACATCTGTTTAGATTATATCACAATTCCAATGACAAACAGCTTTTTTTCTTTTTCTTTTTTCCCTTCCTTCCATATTTTCAAAGTTGACGATTTCATAGTGGTCTTTTTAAATTAGTTGTGCTCTGGGTTGTTTGTTTACACATATCAAAATAGTCCCATCTTAAAGAAAATTTGGTGGGGAAACCCTAAGGTTTGAAGTTGTCTCTCACATATAATCTTTTAGTTGAAAACTTTAGTGGATAAAAAAAACAGAGAAATTCAACCCTTTGTGAAAAAAAGAAAATAAAAACGAAATTTACACTTCCTTGTAGAGCAATATCTCCTCTTTAATAATCTGTTGGTTTCATATCTCTTCAAAAAGAGGTATAGTGCATTTATTTTGGCCAAAGCAGTCAGTCCCCAAACATCAAAATTTATATTGCTGACCAACTGAATCCCATTTTAAATCAGATTTGTTTTCATCAATTTTTAAAATAAATTGAAGCTGATAGTTTTGACAAGATATTTTATTTTGTCCAAACTGTTAGCTCAAAATTCCTGTTGCCTTAGCTATTCTTATTACCTTAGAAATAAATTAACTAAATTACTAAAATAAAAATAAACTGGATTTATTTTTAATTCTTTAAATTTTTCTCATTGTCGTTTGTCCATAAAAAAATTAAAATAGAACTTTTAATGATTATTTGTAAAATATCACTACAAACTTACTGAAGAAAAATTTTAAATGTCTTTAAAGTTAAATTTTCTTTTTTTTTTCCTTTTTTTTTTTTTTGTATTTGAAAGATAACAGCATAAAGCTAATTTGTATTAAAAAAAACAATTTTACCTATTTAAATAAGGTTTTAACTTAATATCTGTCTATATATGATATATTGTAGCTATTTACATCATTCCATCGTTATTGCCATATTAACGTTTGTTGCCAGTGATATATATTGGAATTTCAAAGCACACCCTTTACTTAGTCCACAGGATGCCATGCCTTTTTTGGATATCTCAGTTAACTCCCTTCAGTAAATCAACTCTCCGAGTTTTTGTTCCCTCTGCTGTGGTCAGATATTGAGCACACAACTCTGGGACAAGTCACTTTTTGGAATATGTCAGTCAACGTTTTTACCTACTGGGCCATGTGTCCCCTTGGACTGAATAAAGGGTTCAGTTCAAAATTCTTATGTATGTCACCTGAAGAAGGCCAGGATATGAAACAGCTGAAATGTGAATATGGCCATAAAGATGAGGACAACAGTCTGATGTAAATAGTGTAATGGTTTTAACGTTTTAGACATTTTTAAAACATTGCCACAGTTACCACAAATGAAAATAAATTTAAAAATCCAGTTTTTTTTTTGTTTTTTTTTAAAAAATTTTTTTTTCCAAAATAAATTTGTAAAATTAAGGAATAACTGACTAGATTTCATAAAAAAATATTTTTTGCTTAAAACTGAAAATAATGTTTATTTGCACAAGTTAACCCATGACCTGTCATAACAACAGTAGCTTTCTGTTAACACATGGAAGTGGTATTAAACTTTACATTTTTTTTTTTTATCAATTCTTGAAATATATCTCCATTTAAATAAAAAAAAATCCCTTATTGGAGAAATTTCAGAATAGCAATGAAAAATTACATTTGCATTTTTTAAAAATAGATATTCAATGTTTGTTTGTTTTTTTTTTTTTTTTATTTTATAAAATATTTTATATAAGTATCAACACAATCGAGTTTTAAGTTTTTTTAGTAAAGGTTCATGAACTTTCAGTATGTTTAGTTGATTTTTTTTTTTTTATTTTACTCGGCATCTTCAGCTATTTTTCGTTTATGGGAGTTTAGGAGGATTTATCAAAACTTCTAAATTCAAATGTGTTAATGATATTTGAAAGTTGGGGTGAATTGACAACAACAAAAAAATAACATGCATCAGCTGATTCATTTCTACTTTTAAGACTAAGGAAAGGAGAAAAGGCACTCTGTGATTCTGAGCAGTTGTGATCAGTTACAAGCACCAAAGGCCAATGTGTTGCTGTATACAATGACTTCAACTTTTACATGGCTAAGTCATGAATATTGCATCTCCATTCAGTGCTGTAATAAGGTTTTCAGATCCAACAAAGCAGAAATTATTTATGATGGTCTTTGTCATCAAGTGGAATCAGCATTTGTCTTCAGATGGGACTTTGATGTAATACCAGCTTCAAATGATGTCTGGACATAATATTCCAGAAATATTAGACATGTCTGAGGTTTATATATAAGTCAGCAAATCATAAGGAGGCGAAGTGCAGGAGAGCCATTCACATGGTCTACAAAATCTATTTTATCAGTTTAAAAATAAAGTTTAAATCAATATTATAAAGTATTTGCTTTCTTTTTGTAAAACAAGTTTCATAGTTATTATTGTCCTATAATTTTCAAAATAAGCATCTATTAGAAAAAGTCTTGATATTACAGTGAAAAGAGCTGTTGAATTCCTCATCCCCAAATTAATAAAGTTTCAGGTATTAACCATCAACAGATACTTTTTTTTTTTTTATGGCAAGTTCAGTATGTTATCCTTTTGACCCATTTTTTCCATGCTGTCAAATTGCACTTCTGGCTGTTTCTTTATGTGATCTTGTAGGTATTTTATTGAGGTGCTACTGATTAAAAAAAAATAAATAATTTCCTCTTATGAAGTATAAAAAGAATTTGCAAAGCATTAACTGTTGAAATGAAACTTGTATGATTAGTCAAATTTGCCTTTTTATCATATTTTTATGATTTTGCTTTTGAGAACAATTTTCCCAATGTTTAGGCTGGTCTGAAAAAAAAATGATTATTGATTTCATTCCATTATCTTTTACTTCAAAACTATCTACAATACATTTGTTTTTAACTTGTTTGAAGCCTGCATCTTATACACTGTTCAAATTTGCTCTTTGTCTAATAGCACATCAAATGATAATGTTTTTATGAAATTTGAATGGTCATAACTTTGTTAAGCTAACAAGATAAATTTGGTACTTTTTTTTTTTTTTTTTTTTTTTTTTAATGGTTGTCAAGAGCTCTATGCATGTACTGAAGGTTTTTAGAAATATTGAAAATAAAATTTTAGTTTGGGATACTAATACTCAGTGTTAATATTTGTTGAGAGACTTTTCTCAATTACCTGATCATTTTCCATGAGAAAAATAATCATAAAAAAAAAATGTTTTGCAAAATGCTACTTAGTCTAATTTACAGTTAATCAACTTTTTAAAGACATTTTATAGATGTTGATTCGTTCTGTAGATGGAAATTTTATAAACATCCCACCATTCTTTGTTCTGAAACACAAACAGAATTTTTTAAAATATCTTCAAATAGATTTCAGGTCTGTTTGACACCAATTGGAGATGATGATAAATTATGTTCTGTGTAAATGAAAGAAGAAAATGCTCAGATTTTTTTGTACTTTAGTAATCTTGGGTTTTCAAAAACTTTGTTGTTCCATGGAAAACGTGGTCGGTATAAACAAAAAGATTGTTGTCATCTTTAAGTAAAACTGACTGAATCTAATTCTTCACAGATTAAGTGCTTACAAGAATTTTTTTTTTTTTTTTTTTTTTTTTTCTAGTTTTAGTTTTACCATGAAGTGTTGTTAAATCCACATACATAAAACATTTGAATCTATTTATCACTTATTAAATATTTGGGTATTATAATTTTCTTTGAAATTTAAAGAAAATAAAACTTGATTACTTGTCCGGTTTTGATGAAATTAAATTTTATTTTTTTTTTTTATTCCCCCCCAACTCCACTGGAAAAATCACAACAGAAATTGTAATTTGATCTTTTGATTTTTTTTAAAAGCGTATTCTCAATGCAAATAAGAGAACTGCCAAAAACTCTACAGTGTATGTAAATTTAATTTGATTTTTTTTTTTTTTTTTTTTTTTGTGTGGGTGTGAGAAATTTGTTTATAGTTTTCTCTTAATGACACAATCTTCAGAACTAGTTTTTTAAGTATTTGTTTAGAATGTATGGAAAGCCATATTAATCTCCTTTTATCTTTTAGTAGTCTAATTGATGATATATAGCAGTTCATCTTCAGTTTTTTTTGTTTTTTTTACATTCTTCATAAACAATCACATTTTTTGCATAACACTTATGTAGAAAGTTTTTTTTGGTGGGGGGTGTTTTGTGTTTTTTTAATTCCTGCCAACTAACAATGCTGGATAAAACCATTAAGGAAAGGGTAA